TGCTCAGGCTGTCCCTTCAGTAATAATGCACCAAACTCTATTCGCATGACACGTTTTATAGCTTTACAGACATCACCCGATTAGCACTCTTAATTGGTTCCTGAAAAACTGAGAGTTAAGCTAAATGAGCGTTAAGTGAAACCGAAAGTATTTGATGATCCAAGATGGCGACCGCAAGTGTTTTTAATGACCCAACATGGCAACCCCGAGCGGTATAACTTAACTCGCTGAGCACTAAGTGAAGTCAGGTATCAATTTAAAATGAACGATGTAGCACAATAGCACTATGTGAAACAGCATTAAGTGGGGGTTGCCTGTACTTGTATCTTTTACATATATCAGGCAGAACATGTGGTGCACTGCTTTGCCAAATCCAGTGACTGATTAAAAGATCTAAAAGGCAGGAGAGCTCAAGGGGGCTGTTTGTGCCAAAATACAGAGATAATTCACTAATAAACAGTAAGTTATGCATGAAGCACATTTCTTTAGTAAATCTCAAGATCATTTACATATGTATGTTTATGTATTATTCCCACTGTACTGATGGTGAAACAGAAGCATGTAGAGGTGAAGTGAGTTGTCCAAGGACACACAGTGAACCTGTGGCAATTGTGTATTCGGATCTTTCAATTCCTCTTCCTAACCACTAAACACAAAAACCTAATGGATTTTAAACATGCTTAAATTTCTTCCTTCACTTATATTGGTAATGTGTCTCATTTACACTAGTGCACACTGTATGTGAGAAGCTGATTTAGGCAAACAGTAGCCCAACTACTCTAGCAGTTAGGTCATGTATTGTTACATTAAACAAGAAAAAACAGCAAAGACAAAATACCTTCATACTCCTAGCAATAAACCACTGCCAGACTGATAAGGGTCAGGAAGAAGCCTCCTCATGGAACTGGTCGTTCCATAGCTTGCAATTTGTCCTGAAGTTTTTAGTGTTGGTCACCATCAGAAACAGAGAAGCATCCTATTCCAGGCCAGGCTAGGACAAGAAGTCAATTTTTCAGGTACATATTCATAACCCATTGGTGCAACATTTGTGCTATAACAAATCTCTTCCTACAACTGAGATAATTAAACAGTAAAATAATAAATACCCAGGGCACTAATGTAAAGTAATTTTGTTTGGCTTAAGACAACAGTGCCTATCATATTAAAAATGATCGTCAACCAGGTGAACTACTGGTACCTCCCAAGCTTAGCTGGTAACAGTACTCAGCAAGTCAGAAGCTGTGGTTATGGCAGGAGAATTTTTTTTTTAACACACCACTAGATTTACTATTTAACATGTGTGAAGGATACTTGTAGTTCATACACCTATTAGTTGGTTCAAATAAACTCCAGTGGGGCATCAGCTGATTGAAGTCAAAGGTTTCAGGTATTTTTATATTCTCAAGTTCCCAGGATACATGTTCCTGCTTTCCCCAGTAGGTCTCTCATACCATATTATCCAACCTGGAAGGGCATTCTATATGTTCTCCTATCCTCTGCTTTGTTTTCTCTCAATCTCCTCTCATCTGTGCATTTAAGAAGGTTTCCTGGTTTTCAAGCCTTTAGTTTCTAACATTTAGTTATTTTTATTTTTGATCCTGCCTGGAATAGATTCAGAGAAGCAAAGAGAAGACAAGAGCAGAGTAGCAGTGTCAAGGCAAAGACAGAAGTGACATTTTTCACTCAGTTTGGTCCCTGAAAGCACTCTGCAGCCATGACCAAAAAAAAAGGTGCATGGCTGCAGTGCTTTAAACGGGTCCAATCCCGAAATGGAGCTCATTCATTAATTTGTAGAGGTGCACCAATATGTCAGTCCATATCGTATGGGTACCGATAAAAGGAAAATCGATATTATCATCAATTGGCTTTTTTTGGCCAATGTGGCTGATAATGTTGTTGATAAATGCTGCATGGCACCTTCCAGGGCTGGCTGGACAACCCCCAGAACAAGCTCTCTGCTCTCTTCCCCCCACATAGCCCCGTTCTGAGACAGAATGGGGCTGTGTCAGCTGAATCAGGCTCCCAGTGTGTGCAGACACAAATTAATAGGGGTGCACCAATAAAGATTTTTTTGGGCTTCTACCGATGGCTCATTATTAATGATCCATATAGTTTGATACTGGTCTGATTGCTGATATGCAGCCCAGCAGCTTAGAGAACAGCATCTGGCTGGTAAGTCTGTTGTGGGGCAAGGGGCGGAGGTAGGGGGGTGTGGGGGAGTAGATCAAGGCCCCTGCAGTTAGGGAGGGAGTGGGGCTGGGGCAAGCCCCCCTAGCCCCAGCCCATAGCTCCCCCTCCCAGCATCACTGCCACTCGATCCAAGCACAGCCCTGACCCAGCCTCCTTGTGCAAGGAAGAGCCCAGAGCTGGCCCTGGCCTTATTCTCCCCGCCCTTCCCCCGGTTGGGGAGCCCCAGTCCACTTCCCCCTCTATTCCAGCACAGCTGGGGAAACCCTAGAATAGACTTCTCTCCCATCCTGAGACAGAATGGGATCTGAAAGAGAGGGGATCAAGCTAGAGGAACAGGCTGCAGAGACTCAGCCTCTCTCCCTGGATCAACTCTAAATTGGAACTTGAGTCCCCCACCCTCCCGACCCAACAGCTAATGCTTTCTGTGAAGTGTCATAAATTAGACCCAGGAGCTGTACTTCTGTCTGCACCTTCAGAAAAGCTTCGATACCCACTTCTTTGTCCTTGGCAACAATGAGAGGAGAGGAAGGCTAGGTACCCACATTCAAAAAACCCGAGGCAGAATCAATCTAAGTTACGTCTTTTTCTGTAAGTGGTGTAGTTTAGCTGGGTAGTGAACAGAATACACATTCACCTTTTGGTGGGGGGGACAAATCTTAGACTGGATTCTACCGTTTTAAAATCAGTCTGTGTGCACCATACTTCTGTTATGGGTATAGATCAGTTTCCGATCACTTTACAAGATTCTGAATAAATCACTTAATAGAGAGAGCTAAGAAGTAACAACCTGCTTTATGTCTTGAAAGCTTAGCAAATTTCTTTCCCTCTAGCGCCTTTTTGCCCAGCATCTCAGTAAGTTTAAAAGCTGTATCTAGTCTGGGTGTGGATCTTCATCTCTGCTGTGTGGTATGAATTGTTGCTCTGCCATTCAGCTTAGTGCAGCATTATTGACGTACAGTACAGTGTTTTGACAAGTCTTCATTTGTAGCAATACCTCTAAAAAGATGTTACAATTGTTAAAATAGATTAAATAGCTCTTTGACGTTTGGGTACTGTTCTGCAGATTTTAATCAGAAATTAACTGTCTACAGATCCCTACATGCAAGAAGTTACTAGTTCAGAGAGAGAGAGAGAGAGAGAGAGAGAAGTTAGTAGCTCAGAGAGAGAGAACCGCTTCCTGGAATGATGATTACACAGTATTTAAGATGTAGCATGCTCCAAGAAAAAAGAAAGTTTCCCTATAATTTTCACAGATCTTTCCGCTGTCCCTGCCTATACCATTTTTCTATATACAGTAGTTTGGATCATACTGTAAATGTTTCTTGTGAAGTTCAGCAAGTACTTTTGCCCATAAAGGCACTAAGATCAGAGCCTTTCCAGCAGTTGCCATTTTACTCATGACTGTTGTCCTTGAGAAGCTGCAGACCTTAGTCACTTTATAGTCTGTATTGTAGGTTATTAGGAGCACTTTGTACATTGGCTGACTGTGCAGTTCTGCTGTACTGAATAGGTTTTTGGGTTAGGTGTCTTAATATAGTTGACCTTATTGTAGATTAGCATCTTCCTCTTATGACAGTGAAGGTCTGCTTTACACTATTTTAGTACAAGCCGTAGTATGGTTCTTTCCCTCTACTCAGACATTCTTTCTTATGAAGACATACAGGAATCTGATGCAAAGAAAAATGCTGTTTGTAAAGGAACTGACTTGTGTGGTTTTGAGATGGTCATGAAATATGGACAAATTGCGCGCTAAAAAATTATTTATCTTAAAAAACCCAGACAGTTCTGTCTCCTCGTCTCCATAGCTTCTAGCCTATTTTAGCTGAAGATTACGTATATTTTCACCTTGCAGATATGTTGCATTTAAATTATTTACTGTTGATAAGAGTTATGTGCATGAGGTAAAATATGCATCTTCAGCAATCTATATCCATATTGAATCTATTTATATGTTTTACAAAAAACACATACTTGGCACAAAAAAAAAGGCTTGAGTTGTACTGATCAAGGAGTAAGAACAGATACAGGTTTTTTACTTTTGTTGACTGAATGCATGGATAAGCGAAAAAAATGCTGGGCCAGTGGCTTAAACATAGGATTCAGAATAATGAGAACTTGGGTTTTATTCCTAGCTCTAGACCTCAGGGCCCTGCTATACATTCAAATTAAAGCTGGATAGAAACCATATTTAGAGTTGTTACACATTTTCAAGCACTACCTTTGTAGGTGGTTGGCTCTTTTTATAGCTGAATAGTCATTTTTATCATGTGATAATTACTTTGCATGTGTGGCTGGTTTAAATTTATTGCATGATTAACCAGTTAATTGTTTGATACTTACTTTCCACTTATGGCTAGTCTTACTTTGCATATGTGGCAGATTTAAATTTATTGTGTGATTAACCAGTTCATTGCCTAATACACGTAACATGTAGCAGGGGACATTAGCTTCAGCTTGTGTTCAAAATGGGGGTTGCTAATACAAGTCACTGTGCTGGAGTTCTGTGAGTCCTTAATTTAGCACAGGATGTGAACAGCTGTGTGGAGCTAAGAGTGTGCTTAAGTCTTATTTGACATCAAGCTCAGTTTCAATTTGTTTTTCTGAATTGGGGTTAAATGTTTAGAAATTCTCAAATGGCAAGTACTGTATTAGAACAGTCTTTTCTACCAGGTGTCCTTTTCACTTGAAACTAGCAATGCTTGAAAATTTATCCTCAAGAAATGTTTGCCTCCAAAGTAGTTGTTGGTAGAGCATCTTCAGTATAGACCAATTGGATATTTTAATCCATGTTTCTTTTCTTTCCTTCCTAGGATGTGAGGCCGTGCTCCAGGATGAACGAATGCCACTATGATAAACGTATGGACTTTTTTTACAACATGAGCAACACTGATACAGCAGATGAGTGGTCAGGAACAAAGCTGGTTATTGTTTTATGTTTTGGGACATTCTTCTGTCTCTTTATTTTTATTTCAAATTCAATGGTCATAGCAGCCGTGGTCAGAAACAAAAGGTTTCATTTCCCCTTCTACTATCTGCTCGCTAATTTAGCTGCTGCGGACTTTTTTGCTGGCATTGCATATGTGTTCTTGATGTTCAACACTGGTCCAGTGTCAAAAACCTTAACTGTTAACCGGTGGTTTTTGCGTCAGGGGCTTCTGGACACCAGCCTGACAGCTTCTCTGGTGAATTTATTGGTCATAGCTGTTGAGCGGTACATGTCAATCATGCGGATGAGGATCCACAGTAACCTGACAAAGAAGAGAGTCACCTTTTTAATCTTTTTAATCTGGGCCATTGCTATTTTTATGGGTTCTGTGCCTACTTTGGGTTGGAACTGTCTTTGTGATATCTCAGCCTGTTCTTCCCTGGCTCCAATTTATAGCAGAAGCTACCTGATATTCTGGACAGTCTCGAATTTAGTTGTTTTCTTCATTATGGTAGTGGTTTACATAAGAATCTATATGTACGTCCAGAGGAAAACTAATGTCTTATCCCCACACACTAGTGGATCCATCAGCCGTAGGAGGACACCAATGAAGCTTATGAAGACAGTCATGGCTGTTTTAGGTAAGCAGATATATAAGAACTGGGAACGCCAATTAAGTTAGCTTTGCACCTCTTTAATACTGGAATCCCCAAATTTGTTCCCTGACTTTAGTGTGATATAGCTTTCATTACCCTATGGAAATACAGTGTGTACACAGAAGTGCAGGTAGCCTGTTGGGGAGGTGCTCTAACTCATGGCACTTTACACAAAACGCCATGAGTTAGTGCGCCAAGTTTTCCACACACACCCCTGCCGCCCCAGCTCCAGGCGCAGCAGCCCATGTCGCTGTCAAGATGCTTGCATGGGGGCTAGGGGGAGAAGGGAACACCCCTGCCTTGTGGACCTGGGCTGGCTTCCCCCAAGACTCTAGCCAAGGGTCCCCCATATGTGACAGGGGGAGCTTCCCCCTTCCCCTCCCTTAGGGAGGAGACAGGGGTTTTCTGTGTCCTCTCTGTGACAGCCCCAGGGGTGGCACTGGGCTGGTGTTCCCCTGCAGGAGCATCAGCTCAGCCCCACAAAGCTGCATGAGATGCAGGTGGAATGGCCTCACATTAACCCTCACAGGGAACCTGGTACACAGATTCCCTGAGGCGCTCAGCCTTAGAATGCCCCTGTCTGATACTTCATTACCTAAGTGTTAAATTTTTCTCACAGTTGACTGTTTTAAAAGCACTCTGAAGCCATGAATGTTTGTTACATTATGAATGTAGAGCACTTTCAGGGGCCTCATCACATGAAAAATATAACTTCTGTAAGTGCCTACAAAGCATGAAGCCAGGCAAGATGGTATCTCTTCACACATTTTGGTTGTAGGTAGATTTTGTCTTTGTTTTTCTGTCAAAGGCCAGGAGCCTGTGGCCCTGGATTGGTATGTTGTTGGGGGGGGGGGGGGGGGGGGGGGGGGGTGCATTTTTATTGGGGGGGGGGGGGGGGGGGGGGGTGTTGGTTCTTGAAAATTTGCAGCTTTCAGCAGTGCACCAAATACTGCATCTCCAAAAAGTCTTGCTGTGATATGTTCTGTCCTCATTAAGTGTAACTTAGTATGACTTGTTTCCAATGTATGATGAACTTCAGTGTATGATGAACTTGACAGTCTGTGAAATTTGTCTAGCAAAGAGGCAAGATCACTGAAAGGTGATCTGGAGGGAACTTCCAGAGTTGTGTATACACCACTATTTCTAGGAATGCCTTTCTCAAAATAAGTGGGATCTTTACTTTGATTTTACCACTTCTCAAAGCCCAGATAGGGCAAGAAGTTGTATGGAACCACACTCAGCAACTTGCTGCTTTTTAGAAGTCAAGGATGATTTTTGATATGCATTGTCCTTTTGTGATGAGAAGAAAGTGTGACCTAGTGGACAGAGGGGCAGAGTAGTAGATTGTGATTTTGGGGGATCTGGGTTTTATTCCCAGATGGCTCTTTTACTGGGCAAGTTCTTTCTGCTCCCCCCCCTGCCCCTGAGCCATCTGTCTCTCTCCCTTGATTCTCCATTAAAATATGATAATAGTGATCTCCTTTAAGTGCTTTGAGTTCTGCTCAGGAAAAGTGCTACTTAGGAGCTGCTGTGATAGTGGTGAAGGCCTTGAGTTAGTAGTGACATATAATGAAATCCTGCATCCTAATATTGTCTGCTCTAAAGATTCAAGAGTCATGTGTAGAGATTTGAGCAGACTGCAACCATAATTCAGCCAAAGATTCCTTTGTTGCCTCATGATGCCAGCTGGCTTTTTTACAATTAGTATACTACTGTTGTACATTTGGATTAAGTGTTACATGCAGCTGCACTTATATAGCATTACAGGCATAAGCATTCATCAGCTACTTACAACGCTGGTTTTGACAAGGTTATGGGTTTTTTTGTGCACTATTTCAAAGGAACCTGCATGACTTGCACCCAAAATTAGCTTTGGTTGTCACCTATTAACCAAATTAACTTTATACGTGAATAGTTTCCCCCTATATAAGGCATTCTACCCTACTTCTACATAGTAACAACGTTCTTTTATCTTTTTTTATTCAACAGTGAATCAGACCTAAAAAATGACCCAAAACTTGAGCAATACAAACAGAAGTTTCCTTGGATATCTTAGTTTTTCAACTCCCCCCTGCATCTGCCATGCACAGCAACTGGCTGCTTTTTGAGGGAGGGTGATTTTTGGCCCTGGATTGCCCCCAAAGTTCTGCCTCTATCCCCTATGTATTCTTCCCTCCCCGCTTTCCAATATCCAGTTCTGGCCCTACATCTGCCCAACCCCCATCAGCCATCTGAGTTCTTCCTTTCCAGTGTTGGAAGTTTTGCACTTGTGAAAGATCAGGGTTCAGGGCTGCTGACCCTTGTGTAGCTTTCACTTATGTCCCCACGAGACCTTGCCCTAGTGGAAGAGTGGTGCTGTCCAGAAGTGAAAGGACAGGAGTCTCAGTAAGCTGTGAATTGCTCTGATGGAGATTTGTGCTGCATAGGGTCAAATTCCCAGCCATTTTTCCATATCTGTTTTGTGATGCTCCGTTTTTTGCCGCTCATACAATGCAATATGGCCAAAGACTCTAGCCCTGGGTATAACACTTTTCAAATTGCCATAAATGCCATTGTCCCTTAACTTGGCCCATACCTTAGACGCTGAAAGTTTATTACCTCATAATTTGGGAACAAAAGGCTTTGAGTGCCGTGAAACATCCCGTTTTCCTAATTTAATTTGTTTAGGTCTTTTCCTGGAAATAGAATGAATATTTTATAATTACTTAACAGCTCAGGTCCTCTTTCATTAATGTATAATTAAATCATAGCCAGATGATTCAAATATAAAACCGGAAGTTAAAGTTAATTCAAATGAGAAGTGAGGCACACTTTTTAACTGTGAAAGTGATCAGTCATTGGAAACTATAATGGGAAATATAAAGGGAAAGACATCTGTTAATGTCTTTTATTTAACGAATGGATAGCTTCTGGAAGATGGACATTAGTTAAACATTGTGTTAGGTTCAGTGCAGGAATGAGTGAAATTCTAAAAGGGATACCTTATAGGAGGTTAAACTGGTAATATAATAGCCTCTTCTAGCCCTAAAATCTGCATATGGCTTTGTTTGGGGCAGGTACAGTAAAGACTGCAAAGTGCTGTCCTTATGGAAGTGAAGTGTGACCTTCCAGAAGGAGACTGAGCAACACTTATGCTAGTGAAAGTCAGCTGTGTTTTATTTCACTGGACTCTCATCAGTGAGTAGACAGGTATCCTGCTCCCAGAATTCAAAGTTGCAGACACAAGCTTTGCTGTAAGTGTTCAGAAACACTAACTATAAAATACCAGGACCCTGTCCATCCTTCTTTAGTAGCTGGGGGAGATAAGATTTATTGGTCCAACAATGAATAGTTCCTTTCATAACCTCCAAGTGTATATAAAGGAATTTAGTGCATTTGTCCTGCAGCAGTTAATAAAAGAAGGAATATCTTTGTTGTGACACAGCTTTTCTGTGCTACTTAACTCTGAGATAGCAGTGCTGTGGGGGAGGTGTGTGTTTCTAGCCCAAGAAGTTTACAAACTAAGTACAATTATCTTTCTAATGCTATGCCCAAGGGCACTGTTTACACAGTCTGGTATCTTTTTTGCTCAAGGACCACTGGTATCATAATGCATGCTCTTTGTTTGTAAATACCATGGATTATGCATATGTAGAATTAAACCTAACTTGCACCTGACTTCAGCATTAGATCTGGGCCTTCAAAGCAGTCATTGCAATGCAATTACTATTACTTTGGATTATTTAAATATATGTCAATAGTCCTTTCTAAAGTTACTAGTATAAAGTTACTAGTATATTATTGACATCATAATAATGGTGTGAATGGCTTGTGTTTAAGCTTCAAAAAAGAATGTTGTCCTTATGATAACTCTGGGCTATAAATTGAATGACAGTACCTGTTATGCACAGATAACTCTACAGAGAACGTTTTTATCAGACCAGTACTCAGCGTGTATTTGGTATCACTGTTGGTTTTCCAACTTTAATCAAATTGGTAACATCAGATTAAAACAGGGCTGCCCAGGTGGTGGTTGCCTGTGGCCCTTGAGGGTTATGTTGTGTCCCCTAGGCTCCTGCCCAGCCTCCACTCTCCTCAGTGCTCTGGCTGCAAGAGTCAGAGTCTCTAGGCTGCTCCCCACTCTAAGTTTTGCAGTGTGTTGTGGCCAGGGGAGCTGAGAGGGAGCCTGGAGCCACATGGGCACAGGGTGCAAAAGTGGCCAGGGAGCATACATGCAGGCGTGTGTGTATAGTACAGCAGTGAAGGGGTCAGGGCTTGTGTGCATGCACAGTGCAGCAGAGGAATCGCAGATGTGTGGTGCAATGGGCTGGGTGGGGAGCACATCTATGCAGTGTGCAGTCTGGGGGCCTGTAGCTTGCCTTGGTGCAGCCTCCACTGATGCAACTTGGGGAGCATTTGGCTCCCAGTAGAGTGACCACACATCCCTAACTGGGCAGTCCTGCAATGGGAACCACAAGTCCTGGTCCTGGGCTACACAACTCCAGGACAGCATTTGTCCTGGATTCTCAGTGTCGTGCAGGGATCCATGGGAAATGGTGGGTTTCCCCTTGCAGTCTGGCAGCATTCCAGCCTGCAAGGGGAGCCAGGAGAGGGACGCAGGGGGCACCAGCTGCACGTGCATGCCCACACACATGCACGTGGCCAGGAAAGAGCCGAGCAGCCTGGAGAGCAGCTCCCTGCAGATAAGTCTATGGGGGGAGGGGACATGGGGAGCAGATCAAGGTCCCCATGGTGAGGGAGGGAGTGGGGCAGGGCTGGGTGTGCTGCCCAGCCAGGGCAGTACATGGGGCTGGAACGTGGAGAGGAACAGAGCCACAGGTGGCTCATCCAAGGGGCAGGGACATAGGGAGGGCATGTGCCCCTGCCAGATTTGTGTTGTGGACTCAGGGCTGCCTAAACTGTTGCCTTGCCCCCAGGAGCCCCCTGCGCCTGGCAGCAGCAGGGGTAGCGGTGGTGTGGAGTTGTGCCTCCTGCTGCTGCTAGGT